AAGATCCATCACAACGTTGGCATTAGCACAATAATAAAAGGCACGGCATTGCCAAGTACTTCCCTACTATATGGCATCAAATGAGTCGCGACATGTCCTCATCCTCTAATGCTATCCACGGCCAATATGGCCTTCAAAATATCAAGCCAGAGGATTTGAAGCTGTAAGAGCCACGTTCACAGGCACCGTCCCTCACTAACGCCACAGCACAGAATTCTGACTCAACCACATGTTAAATTTTCCATCACAAGTTCCAGAACAGAGGTGAACATGCATCTGGGCGTTGTATTGCGTGCGTCTGCCTCGCTGTATGCTTTGGTAGAAAAGAAGACAGAACTATATAATTGTGTGGAATTACAGGACGTCGACGAGGGTGTATTCTTGCGTTTCTGCCAGTTTGCGTATGCTGGTACGAAGGGTTCGCTCCAGAAGACGCTAGTGCAACTGAAAACACTGTTATGGCGGGAGACAGCGGGGAACGCGCGAAACCAACTCGCTTTGCATGCAATATCCACGCTACCGAAAGCAACGAAAGCCCGATATTTGAGCCCTTCCGCATTGGCAAGGAGACTCTCAGTTTGCCCTATTCCTGTGCATCGTACATAGCCGCGGCTGCTGGCTGGGCTGATCGCAATGCCTGCTGCGACCTCTGTAAGCAGAACAAGCAGGGGGCGTTCAAGTTCCATCTAAGCGCAAATTTAGCCCCCCTTCGTGTTCTTGTGATCTCAAAAGAGCTAGCCAGAAGAAAATGGACGCCATTGTCAAATTCATTGACGGCGAGAGCAGCCACGTCGGGTTCCCAGCACAAGGGCAGCAAAGGCGCTTCCAGGTTCCGAGTCAGGGTTTAAGTGGCGGGAATGACCTCATTGGCCATGCTAGGGTGTGGCCATTTGCTCAACGGTATGCTATTCTGCCATTGATGGAATTGGCTTGTAAAAATCTGGTGAAAAGATTGGCTCACTGGGTTATCTCGGTCCATACGTTCATGCGGACATTCGAAAGACTAGTTCAACATATGTATGACAATCGTGCTACTGAGGGCCATGCGATACGCCAGCTCGTGGCGCAATTTGCGGCTTGCGCAGCTGAGGATATAACTACCTTGTCGGGCTGGCATGAGTTGCTGCGGTAGTTTCCAGCATTTGCCATCGACTTCGCTCGCGAGGTTACTCGCCGACTCGCCTAATCAAAACTTGCGCCAAAGAGAAAATGAAAATCGATGCAAGAGACGAGCGCGGAGTAAGTCATTTTGTAGGTAGTTCGTCATGCGTTCTGACCAGTTAGCGCCTTGCTGGCCATGACCTAGGAAGCTTCTTCGGAACCGCGCATGGTAATGAGGGCTTGCATGTGGAGGAAGCGGCCAACCAGACGTCGGACGCATGTGGACTGGCAAGCGCACTCGACAGGCTCGTTGTTCGAGAGTTTGAGACCGTGTCTATCTGAGAGCGTACCTTGAATTTGGCAGCGCCAGTTTCTGCTCAACGCTGCAGCAAGTTGATGCTTGCATCATGTTTAGGCCGAAGTATCGATTTGATACAGCAGATCCCAGTTCTTGTATAATATGTGTTGTTCAGCTTCTGTGCCGTTTCTGCTCTAAGCACAGGCGACCTGCTCCCCAGTAGGACCATGCAAAAACAGTGCGCGAGTAAGATTCACTTTGGTGAATTATGTAGGCGGAGCTGGACCAAATCCAACATACTAGCCGGTTTGCTCCAGCATGCGCGTAATGATTGAACACATTTTAGGGCGAACAATGTGTTCTGCTGGTTGAAGGCCCTGGTAGATTCTAGGGATCGACAGCATCCAGGGTGGCGTTTCAAAAAGCACCTAACCGGTTAGGTAATATCGGCGACGCACCAAAGTAGTCCACTATACCGCGATCGCAGATGTGGGCTGCATGTATGCCTGACACGATGACTGCGCCGATGTAACGAAAGTTGAGGGTTAGTCACAGCTCGTGGCAATTGGTGGCCTCTTTCAAGAACTTGGCATGGCATGTGGCACGGGGAGGTCATACGCATGCCATTTTCTTCCATTGGCGAGTTGATAATCCATCATACTATGGAACTATTCCAGCCGTTGTTTCGGGATAGGAAGGGTACCGTCCCTGGATAGTGTTGGCGTAACCGCACAATACCAGTGTCCCTTGACAATGCTGGCGGTGTGATCTCAGGACAAAGAGTAGTCCCCGGACAGAAGGGACAGAGCTGCTGTTCCTGGCTACACTGTCACGACGGCGGCGAAGATGCGGTGGGAATTCGTAGAATGCTACAACGCAGCCTTATCAACCCCACAATCTCGCCTACAGGAACGGTCTCCAAACGACCGGATCGTGCCACACTGACCGAAATGAAGTAGTACATTTTGCACTTAACGGTAGGATACTGGTACTGTCATTCTTGTATCTAATGGTGGTGCGGGGTGCGGGATGCAAATTGAGGCTGCGAAGAAGCTAGTGACCTATTTGCCATTGCACACGGACGAGATTGTCCGTCGCTGGCTGCATGACAGCTTGCCGTCAGCCTGCCGTCAGCCTGTCGCAACAGTATTGGGTATGTGCTATGGTCTCGCTAGCGTGTCGCCAGAGTGTCGTCGGCTTGCGCACATCGACGGGTGTGAAGCTGACTAGTTTAGCGTCTTTCATCGACCCCTCAGTAGAGCGACCCCCTCCCCATTCGATGGGTTGAAAAAAGAATGTGAGAGGCGGGAGGAGGACCACCCCCTCATTTCCTCAGCAGAAGGACGTGCTGCCGAAGTGGACTGGAAAATGCAACGGAAAATTTTGTCGACGACAGAACTGCTAACGACACCCCTTCCTGATCGAAAACCATATGTCTCCCTTCAGTTTGTCTTGGAGGGGATGTATGATTTTCAATAGATATCCCAGACCAAAGGCGCAGCGTATGGTAGAAATTGCGGGTTACATCGATTTTGAGGAGACGATGATTCGCTGTGGTGTTAGCCCGGGTGCGCTGATACGCGCGAGAGGTTGGTGGCCAATTGGTTCAATATTTGCTTGATTGAAGGCATAGAGGCAATGAGTCTAGCCCCCTTGGTGAAAAATATGCTGTATGACTGTCTGCCATTCAGGAGCTTCAGGCACGGGTAAAGCGAGAAAGCTGCAATCGACAGTTTCATACATACTTCAACATGTAAGTCAAGCCTCAATCGAGATGTTGAGACACGGTCCATGTTAACATAATGCAGGCATATTTGGAAGGTCGGACGGCCTAACCTTTAAGCCGCAGCAACAGCAAAGCTAATGATAGGGTCGAGAAGAAGCAGCACCTCAAGTTGGCTGGAGATCAATGGTGATGTTATACTAGGTATGTCTGGCTTGCGGCACTGGCAATAAGGGGCGTCCATGTACTCGTGCCGCCGAGGCGGTGCAATTGGTGTTCGTGCTATACTGTTATAGCACTGATAAAGAAATGATATGTTATCCGCATTTTGCTATTTTTTTTTTAAAGCCTTGACACATCAAACTTATCTCCAGGTTAAGAAAAGCTCCCACTTTCATTCGAACAATGACATATTTGACAACCAAGGGACCCCACCACGATTTTGGGTCCTCCTAACGAGGGCGCTAAGATGGTACGGAAGCACAAAACTGACCTCTCACAAGGCCGGGTGTTAGAATACAGCTTTAACTATTACACGTGTGCGTTGGGGTCTGCCGGGGATGTGTTAGGTAGTGATTTGCATGACCCACTTGGCAAGCAGACGGCATTGTGGAGTAGCCCATGATATAGACATGGTCATGCAGCTGCATGTGTCAGTGTCTGCATTTGTCCCTTACTCCGCGATGGTTGCTTCGACACCGAAAATTGAGAGAGGAGACACATCAGCGAGGGAACAGGGAGAGACGGCAGGGGTCTCAAGAGCAATGTTGACTTTAGTTACCGCTCCCGTGTCATGGACTGCATGCTCACCCCAGCTTTCAGCGCAATCCACAAGAAAGCAATCTTTTCCTTTTACCGAGACAACGGTATAGTCGCTTATCCCTACGACGAGCCGAGCAGACAGCGTAACGTCCGGGTTGCGCATAGGACATCGAGCAAGGCCCAACACGAAATGCCACCTTGTCTCCTCGTGCGGCGGCATGCGTTGTTTATACCGCAAGGGGATCAATTTGAAGTATTAAAAAGATACCAGATAGAACAAGCTACAAAAATAAGTCACAAGAAGAAACATACGATATTTTGTCACAAAGATGGTCAAGAGAGTCTCTACTACCATGGCCAATTACAGTTTGTTGATGAGCCGGTATCGGAGGTGCCGCTATATGCCAAACCCGCAGCTAGCCAGCTATCCGTGCGCATCAATAATACCAGCATGAGAAACGAGACAACGGCAAAAGGCAGAGCAAAGCTGCTGTGGGCGGGGACTTGACAAGCTCTAGAGACTAGCCACCGGGACCCGCTGTCTGTGTGCAAGACATCTCAAGAAAATCTCGAATGGGCCGCAGGACGGGGAGCGTCCTCCCTGAGCCATCTTTGCCAAACCTAGGTATATATTGCTTTCTAATTAGATATATATTTCTTCTAGTGCCCATTTCATGGCAATGCAGAGGCCATGAAAGTGTAGTCATCTCGCGGCTCGTACATATTTAGTTAGTTATTCCTTTTTTTTTTTTTTTGAGGGGGTTCGTGTTAGCAAACTTCTTGCCGAGTTGGCGCTTTCTACTCGCCCTTTTTTGTCGTCGTCCATTTTATCGTGCGGGCTCTGGCCGTCCATGCTTGCTGCGTCGGTCCAATTGAGCTCAGCGCCCTATCCGTACACTAGCGCACTACGTAAAACAGGGTGGTATGCTAAGCCTGACTTGACTGACAATTGATTTCATCTCCAGCGGTAGCCTCGCGCACACGTTGGCCTGGGGATTGGTCTGTTGGAGTCATACAAAAGGTACATCGAGCGAAGTACCTAAGAAGGGAAACTCTTGGGGACGGTGGCATTTTGGGGGCGCGGGGGGCGCGGGTGGCAAGGATATATAGAAGAAATGTCCTCCCAGCAAATGTGCTGTCATCATGCTGGTAGATTGGACTGATCCGATAGGTCGGACGGCTAATGAAGGCGCAGGCGGACAAGGGTTGGCACAAGACAAGACGGTGATGATGAACGTTGCCAGATGCAGGCGATGCAGGATGTGGGATGTCAAGGCTGAACACAAGTCTGCAGGAGGCAGCAGGCCGCAGTCGCAGGGGACAAATGGCAAATGGCCCCCGGGACCTGCCAGCTGCAAGGCTCGGGCCATGATCCAGTTGCTTTATTTGTTTATTTAAAGCTGCAGCATTGCCGTTTTTCACATTCACAGCGCGGTGCACTGGTGGTGCCAAGAGAGTAAACAGCAGTTAAACATTCCTGCCATCATCATGGCGATTCTAGATATT